GATTGGACCAATGATTACAGGTATGCATACCCTCCTATTTGTCTCTTTCCCTGGGGTTTGTTTGTCCTTCAAATCACTGTATGTTGAGTTCTTCTCATTGTCTCATTATGACCTACACAACTTTTGTTCCCTGTTCTTCCTTTCTTGCAGCTATCTTCTCTTTTCACTGTTCTTCTATTCAGGTCCCTTCTCCTCTAGTACTACTCACTGGTGTTTCTTCTTGTCTTACCAATACTCCAGCCTCACTCTTGACCTTTGTCTAGTACATTTTGGGGTGATCCAGGCTCTCTTCACACGTGGCAGCCCTTATCACTCTTTCAATCCATCATTCTTTCTTGGTGGTCTCTAAGAGACAATGACATGTTATGTCATTGATTACTGCATCATGGTTACTTGCTTTCGTCCTTGAATTCCTCACCATTCTATATTTCACTTGACTGTTTCACAATGATTTGTTTGTGTTGACCTTTTATAGGCTATGGGGTGGCCATATCTTCACTCTTCATTTTTTACCATTCCTTGCTGTGTATTTTTTCTCATATCATATCTCTCTTACTTTTGTCCATTTTCTCTCCTCTCTCCCTTCTTGCCCACTTCTCCTTCACAACTAGGATTTCCATGTCATTCTCCAAGCTCTTCCCCAGCATCCTTTTAAACCATTAACTACTTGTTCTTTATTTCACCTATTTTGCTCCTTTTTTCCAATTGACATTTTAAGTGTTTGCTCTCAATGTATTATGTATCCATTCACCTCATGTGTTCCTTCTGAAGACCTCAGTGGATTTTGAGGGACACATCTCTTTCATACCCGAATTCATCCTTTCCACTTCTCATTTGTATTCCCGTTATGATCTGGATCAGCTCCTCTGTCTATTTTGTGCTCTTTGATGTTTATTTGTTCTAGTTTCCACCTCCTCTTTTTTTGTAGTTGGAATTCTTCTCCCATGCATGACCTCTCCTCTGTGACCCTCACCAGTTGGTTTTGCCTACTCATTCATTTGATTTATTCTTCCATGTCTTAGGTTTCCTATTGTATTTTCATTGTATCCACCCACTATTCATGCTTGGAGATGGCTTAAATGGGCAATGAAGAAAAACTTTAATATAAGATTAACATAACAGCAAATGTACAAGATTTTGTAGGTGGTGATCAATAATATATTGAATTTCATTAATAGAAACATGTGATCATTAATATATTGAATTTCATTAATAGAAACATGTGATCATTAATATATTGAATTTCATTAATAGAAACATGTGATCATTAATATATTGAATTTCATGAATAGAAACGTGTG